GGGATAATTAATTAATATCATGATCTGGTGTACCTCCATTATTTCCCTAAGTTTTTCTCTAATCTTATTTTGCTCCATTGTTAGCAGCACTGCATACTCCTGCAAAACCCCATCGAATCGAACAATTAGTAGCAGTTAATTAAAGCAGCCATAATCAATATAAACAAATTAAAATGAAATGTCCAAATTTGTTGGTTCACCTTTTGGTGGATTTGTCAAACAGGAATTTGACCGTGGTCACTAAAGCTAGATTATCCTCTTTATTCTTGGACACTCCCTGTATATCCAGCAAGAGCTAAAAGAAAAAGAAGAAAAGCAGAGAGCTAGATTAAGGGACTCGCATACACATTATGCATTAAACACAGAGGACATCAAAGATGAATAACATTAACATCACCTTTTTATCTTCCCTCAGCTCAAGTGGGGTCTCCGGTGGGATTATCACCAGACTCCCCACCCAGGTGGTGGGGTCCAATAAGGGTCTTCAACCCAGATCTAGATCAGCACTCTCCAGCCAATACTCCATGGCTCCATCAGCATTGTGCCGCCGCCTAAACCTCTGGGCTCCACCTTGCCCGCCATGTGTTTGAGCAAATGGTCCAACAAAACCGTATCCCCAATCAGCTTCCTTGCCTCAGTATTGGGGTCCCAAATTTATCACCCTCTGCATGCTTTCCTCTGCAGCCTTGTACCTTAAACCCAAATCAAAGCATGAACCTTACTTATTCTTAACGCAGATCAAAATAACTAATAGTTATAACTAATTAAGAACAGAGTCCTCACCTCCCTGCAGACCATCTTGCCACTCTGTGTTTTACCAATTTCTTGCTACTCCGATCGGGAACTGCTACCACTTGGTTCTGCTTTTGACGTTTTGCTATAGATTTTGATTTCTTTCTGGTTTTCTTGGGCTTTCAATGGTGATCTTGGCGCTTCCTCTTCTTACTCCTAAGGTTCATCTTCCAGGGCACAACAGGAGGAGCCTCGTCCTCTGTTTTCACATCTTCTACTTCTTCTTGAATATCATCATCTTCCTCCTCTAGCTCTGTTAGCTCCTTCCCCTTCTCTTCTTGTTCGTCAGTACTGGAGCTCGGTGAAGGCTCATCCGGCTCTTACCCCACGTCGCCATCCCAGTGAACTTTAGCTCCGACCAGCACGGACCCTTTTTGGAAACCACTCCTGTTCATGACCTCGCCGCTGACTGCTGGGCTCGGTGAATAACTTCTCTGGTAATTTGTCGCCGCGGGTGTAGCAGCCCAGAAGCTCCGAACGTTACTCCGATCTGCAATTTCCTGCACAAAAATGCACAAAATTGCACAACGTTGCTCCGAACGTTGTGATCTAACATTTGCAGATGAATAAAACTGATAAAACTGATAATACTGATGATTCAAACCCATAAAACTGATAAAACTGATGAATCAAACATCAGAATAGTTCAAAATATAGGTGGCTACTTCATTAAAAAAGATAGTCCAGAGCATAACACAAAAAGTATCTTCCTCATCAGTCAGTATAAACCCTAAAGAGAAACCCTAAATAATCAATTTCTGGTGGTTTTCTTCTCCATCTCGGCCATCTGCTTCTTGCATTGCAGTAGATCCTCCTCAAGCGCTTTACAGTTACGAACCACTGCCTCCATCACCTGTCAACAAAAAAATGAATTATGAACAAAAAATAAAAAATAAATGAAAAGAAAAAAACAAGAGAAAACATACCGCTTGCGCTTTCAGAGCATCTTGAGCTCTTTCACTTGTCAGCTCTTCAAGTTTGATGGAATGGTCCTTCAGAGACGACTCCAGCATATCCACTCTTCCTTGGAGGCTAGACAGATCCATGTCGTATGTAAAGGACTTCCAGGCAGCCGTAGCCGCAGCAGTTGGGCCGAGTCTACCCACCACATACGCCGCCTTCGTGGTGCCGACCACCGCATCAAGAGTACCGTACGCATTTTTCAGGCCGTGAAGTGTTGTTCTGGGTGGTGGTGGCTTAGAGAACTTAGAGAAGAGAGTCCTGAAAAATGAATTCATATCGTTGTATGTATGTAAAGTAATATTTGACAAGACATAATACTGTAGAATTGCTATATATATAGATAAATATATATTTTTTTAGTGCTTTATTTTCATTTGGGGAGAGGGGAGAGAGTTTGAGAGGGAATAAGTTTTTAAATATTTTAATTAATGAAAATTATAAGAAATTGACATCTTAAAAATAATAATAAAAATATATATATATATATTTTTTAATGAGGGAATTTGGGGCACTATGTTTGATCCTATCCTCTGTCTCACTTGAAGCCTTATGCATTGTATACACAATTTTTTCTATCATTTGAAAAGCATATGGAAAATGAAGTTTATTTTATTTTATAGAAAAACATAAAGTATTTTTTTTTATAAAGAAAAAAAAACGTGAAAATAAAATAGGAACTAAGAGCAAACATCTATTCAAAATCAAAGCAACCAACCACTCCAAATATCTTATGAGATATGATGTGCACAGGGACAGTTTCAGTGTTATGATAATTTTTGACAGAGAGAGAAGTGAGAGAGAACCCACCAAATGTCCCCTTCCATCCCCAGAGAGGCTGCTGAGTTGGTTTGGACTAGTGAGTCTTGAGGCTTTTGTACGGAAACAATAAAAATAATAAGACAATCTGCCCTCTGCGCTCTGCCCTCTCCTCTCCTAGTCTACTACTACTACATTGCTTTTTTTTTTTCTCTCTCTCACAACCCTAAATCAAACTTGCCAAAAAGCAAAACTTTTAGAGAGAGAGAATAACAAGTTTTCAATTCCTGAACTTCAGAGAGAGAGCGGGGTACCCGGGCCTTTTTGGTCACTACCAGTCATTAATTTAAAAGGATGTTACCATATGGACCACCAACAACATGCAAGACCAAAATTCACCAAATTAGAGACCATGTATATAATAGGATATATTAATATTTTCTTTCCCACAATAACCACAAGTATTAATACACGAGACCACTTGTATTAATACATCATTGGGCAAGATATCATATTGAAATTATTTAATTTTCTTTTCAAAATCATGCATATAGAAACCTATGTCAAATTTTGAGTCCATGAAATACGTAACGTTAGAGCTGTGCAATTTGAGGCCAAAAAGGAAAATGAACAAGTCAAGCGAGGTGGGCACTACACCCAAAATACAGGTGGATTTATTATACTCTGTCTACGTGGATTTGTAAAGCACAAGACAGCTCTGCTAATGTGTCAAAATTATTATAAAAACTTTAGTACACTTTACATAGAATATAACTTTTTATTTATTTATCAATATTCAATTAACCTTTATCCCTCATCCAAGGAAAGAGCAATTCTTCCTATAGCCTTTCATTAATATTATTTTTTATTAATCACTAATTATCGCTATGAAGATATTACGTAAAAGACTACCGTAATTTAAAACTGATTTGGAAGTGTTTATACAAAAGTAATTTTAGCATAATCGCTTTATGCTATGAGCGCTTTTACATAGAATCATTTTATTGTATGAATACCAACATAAAAGTGCTTTTATACTAAAATATTTTCCCACTTACCCTCCGTATGTTATATCCAAAGATTTCACTAATTCAAACACTAATCCACTAAACTCTTTTTCCACCCTCCAATACCATCAACGCACCCGTATGTGTTTCTTATTGCACTATCTTCTTTCCCCATAAATCATATTCATCCTCCTTTGGCATCCAACCATTACAAGGTGCGTTAATTTTATATACTATTTTACTGTCATATTTTGGATGGAGACATTATTTTTACTGTTTTGTGCCCAGTAATATACTGTGAAAACAGAAGCTATATTTTTACTGTTTTTATTGTTTTGTGCTCAGGCTATTACATTTTCTTCTATACTTTTGTTTTGTTAAAAAATAATTCAGTATAGTTGGGAAGAGAGAAGAGAGGGAATTTGGGGAGGGCAACAGATAATGTGAAAACTGAAAAATTGGTTAAGGTTTTTAATATTTTAATTAATGAAAATTATAAGAATTGGTTGATCAAGTAGTAAGTTGATTTAGGGTTGTGAGAGAGAGAGAGAGAGAGAGAGAGAGAGAGAGAAATTTAATCAAGTAGTAAATGGGGCGTGGGACATCACGTATAAGGCACATCACCCCCTCTCCGTTAGTCGATGTGGGATGTTACACGGTGGCAGCGTGGTGGTGGTGGTGTTGGTAGTGGAGGTGGTGATTGTGGTGGTGATGGTGGCGAAGAAGGAGAGGGATGTGGTGGTGGTGGTGGTGGTGGCGATGGCGATGGCGGTCGGTGGTAGTGGTGTTGGTAGTGGAGGTGGAAGTGGTGGTTGTAGCGGTGATGGTGGCGAAGAAGGAGAGGGATATGGTGGTGGTGATGGCGGTGGCGGTCGGTGGTGGTAATGGTGGCGGAGGGTGGAGGTGGTGGTGTTGATGAAAGTTGCGGTACTGGTTGTGGTATAGGTGGTGGGGATGGTGGTTGTGGAGGTGATGGTGGTGGAGGTTGAGGATGAGATGGTAGTGGTGGTGGTGGAGGTTGAGGAGAAGGTGATGGTGGCGGAGAAGGAGGTGGTGGTGATGATGAAGGTTGAGGTAGTGGTTGTGGTTGTGGTGGTAGGGATGGCAATTGTGGAGGTGATGGTGGTGGAGGTAGAGGTGTGGAGGTGGTGAAGGTGGTGTTGGTTGAGGAGAAGGTGGTGGTTATGATGGTGATGGGGGCGGAGAAGGAGGTGGTGGTGGAGGTGGCGATTAGTGGTGGTGATGGAGATGGTGAAGTTGGATGTAGAGGTGGTGTCTTTAAAAAAACAAAAATTAGCTAGCTTTTTTATTTTATTTTTTAAAATGCATATAGGTACTACTACAATATTGAGCAATAGTAGCCATTTTCTTTCTAAGTATTTAGCCAACTAAGCAACTAAAATTGGTGGCTAAAGGCCTTAGCAACTAAACAGTTATCAATAGCTACCATTGTTTTAGGTAGCATGGTTTAGTTGCTTAATCTTTTCACACCAATCATTAATTTCATTCACTTTAGTTGGATATATTAAACACCATTAGAGAATGCATTGGTTGTTAAGTTGGAAAGCCAATTGTGTATTTGCCCCACAACTTTTTACACCTTAAATATCAATTAATTAAATATAAATATTCAAATAATACATGAAAGTATAGCCGCACGGCTAATGCAAATTGTCTCCAAGTACTAGTAATACATAGCCCTAATAAAACCTACATATAGTACTCCTAATCCAAGGTTAGAAGTCTCCACCATTATATCCATGTAAATACATCACAATGAGAAAGAAAAAGAAAAATTAGAAACTTCCTTTTAATTTTCAACATGTTAGAATAGAATTCTCAACAACTTATCACCATTAGACAAGAAAAAGAAAAGTTAATGCAGAAACAGAAAGAACAAAGACATGAATAGAAAAATAAACTATAACTGAAAAAGGAGGAAAAATATTAAAGATAGACAAAGATAGAGAAAGAAAAGTGAGAACAAGGAAGGATAAGGGTAATCCCACCCTTCTTATTAGGGAGCAACTCTAACAGACCCAACGTTAACAAAATAGCAGACCCAACACTAACACATAACAGAATAAGCAAATCAGTAATATGTTAGAAGTGTACACTTCATTAATTACAACACTAACACTAACACTGACAATACTAGTCAAATTCAAAAAATAATGGCATTAGCTGCACCTGAAATCTTCATGGCACTAACACTAACAATATTAGTCAAATTCAAAAAATAGTGCAACCCTCTTTAACCGTTGCTCGTCTTCCTAATCAAAATTGAAATTCACAGTGTTGTAAGAAAAATAACCATGTCAGTAACCATATGAACCAATAGTGTGTAACATGAAATTTGAGATAAATATATTCTAAAATGTGAGCATGTACATTTCACTTCAGTTAGGGAAAAACAGAACCTCCACTTTCTTTTTGCCCCTAGCCTGATCTATCATGCCTTTGCTGGCTCATAAAGCATCCTTCTCAGCTTGACTAAATTTTCATTTTTCCATCTCACTTGAAGTCCTGGTAATAACTAGTTTCATAAGCAAGGAGTAAAAAAATTTATCTCATAGTTCTCAACATACTAAAAAATCTCACTTTGCAGACGAGCTCTTCCTCTAAGACCGCCATTGAAGATAGCTTTGAGAATTCTAAAGCTAGGGTTTTATTTGTACTTGGGCAGAGGAAGAAAGGGAAGTGAGAGAGAAGGGGGTGGAAACTGGCTATATTTCTTTAGATTCAGTTCTCAATTGGACTTAAAACCTAGTATTAAGTGACTACGGCAAAAGTTGATGCCAGCTAGCTCATTATTTCCCTAAAGTCTTTTTTATTTATTTTTGTTTCCAAAAACAACACAGAAAAATAGAGGAAAAGTCTCTCACATCCACATCCACTTAATATTCATTAGTTTTTAAGTGAATTTGTTAGTGAATAAGTTGGATAATTGATATAGCCATGTTTTCAGCCCTTTAGATCTATTGGTTACATGAAAAGAAACTAATCAATGGTCTCAATTGCAACCTATGTGTTATTTTCATTGACTGCAGATTCCGTTTGAAGCAACTAAAATATCATCCATTCCTCTTATCGTCCGCTGAAAGATCATCTCTTATATGGCATGCACAAATACATCTCAAGACGGAAGAACCAATATTTTCCAGAAATGCCATAGCTCATGTTAATGATCATGTCAAGGCACACTTCTTCAAGGAAAATAAGGTATACACTATACTTATTGAAGTGCAATTTTTTTAGGGAGCTGATTTTCCCACTCCCCTTTTCTCCACTTGCACTCCCTTTTGCTTTTTAATGATTTTTCATCAATTTTT